AATCCTATCTGTCTTGGAGAAAGCCAAAATGGTAATTTCTTACCATAAGATTCTAAAATAATAGCGATAAATCTTTCTAAAGATCCATAAATAGCCCTATGAATAATAACAGGTACTTTTAACTCTCCATCACTATCTTGATATTGTAAGTTAAATCTTTGGGGAAGTTGAAAGTCTAATTGAATAGTAGCACATTGTGTCTTTCTTTGGAAAGCATCATACAAAATAATATCAATCTTAGGTCCATAAAATGCACCATCTCCTTCATTTAATATGAACTTGTGTCCTGATTCAATAATTGCTTCTTTAAGATTTTCTTCAGCAATATCCCAGTCTGTTATTTCACCAATAAACTTCTCAGGTCGAGTACTCAACAACAATTCATATCTAAAATTAAATACATCATAAACAAACTTAAGAAAGTCTAATGATGCTTTAATTTCATCTTTTATTTGTGAACTCATACAGAATATGTGTGCATCATCTTGTTGAAATCTTCTCACTCTTGTTAATCCAGATAATGAACCGCTACATTCATTTCTATGTAAAACACCAAAGTCTGCCAATCTTAATGGTAACTCCTTATACGAACTAACAAAATTCTTAAACATAATACAATGACCAGGACAATTCATTGGTTTAAGTCCAAAGTCATCAGAATTAATCATAAAAATATTTTCTTTATAATTTTCATAATGTCCTGATTCTTTCCATAAATTGAGACTATAAATGTTAGGTGTTATTACTTCTTTGAATCCCCTTACCTTATACTCATTCCTAATAAAATCTTGCAACTTATTATAGATGTATGCTCCATCTGGTAACCAAAAACATGAACCCGGTGAAGTTTCATTAAAAAAGAAAAGATTCATTTCTCTTCCAATCTTTCTATGATCCATTTCTTTAGCCCTTAATATTCTTTCTTTATATTCAGATAATAACTTTTTATTAGGAAAACTTACACCATAAATTCTCTGTAACATCTTATTATCAGATTTATCTAAGAAATAACAACTACTGTTTTTAGTTATTTTAACAGCTTTAACCATCCCACTACTGTTAATATGAGGTCCTCTGCAAAAATCTTCAAATACACACTCATCTTTAACCATATTTTTATAAACTGTAAAGTTGTCACTCTTGTTAACAAAATGTAACTTACAATCATTTCCTTCATATAATTTTTTAAGATAATCTAAGTTAACTTCTTTTCTAACAAACTTACTATTCAATTTACACAATCTCA